GCGGGGGGGGTGGCGGTGGAGGGAGAGCTGGCAGTGGAGCTGGGGGAGGAGTGGAAGCAGACGAAGAGGAAGCCGATGAAGCAGAGGAAGAAGACGAAGAAGACGAAGCAGATGAAGCAGAGGAAGAAGATGAAGAAGAAGAAGCAGATGAAGCAGAGGAAGAAGGTGAAGAAGAAGAGCCAGACGAAGAAAATGAAGAAGACAAAGGAAACGGAGCAGACCAAAAGCGAAGAAGAAGAAGAGAAAGAAGAAGAAGAAGAAAAATGTTTTTCAAGGATACATGGAGGTTCCAGCAGCTCTTCTCCTCTTTGGCTTCATCAGTCTTCATTTTTTGTTTTACACTGGAGTTTGCTCTTCTCCTCGTCATGTAGATGTCTTCGTTTTTCACCCAGACGTTTCTTACGAGGAAAAAAGCTTCTAAGAAATGGGGTTCAGACAATGCAGTGGTATTAGGCCTTTAAATCAGCTGATTTGTAGATGATGGACCTGATAACATATAATCTAACCTATAGAATCAAACGTACAGAAAACCAAAGAAAGAGAAAGAAGAAGAGGAAAACAATAGAGCTACACAAAAAAGAGAGTTAGGGTTTAAACCTAATAAATAAATACATTATCAGGCCCATGCAATGTCGGAATGGGATTCACGCCGACTCCACATGAATAAAAAATGTAAAAGAATCCCACGCCACCCCTTATATAATTATCCGTTTTAGAAATTGCTAATTACGAGTGTAAAATTTTTAGTGGGATTTATATTGTACATAAAATTCGTAGGATCTAGGGTGTATATACTCGAGCTTCAAATGGGATCCAAGCTGTACATAAGAATCATCGAATTCAAACTTTTCATACTTGAGCTTCTAGTTGTACTAGAATTATTTCTAGAAGTTTCATGTAATTTTAAACAAGGACGTCGTGATTTGTTTTACAATAAAGTCATGAGTACGGAAATTTTTTAATAGAAGTTATACTGATAATAATGTGGATAAATGTGAATAGACCATTTTTTTCTTTTTTTTTTTCCTCTCTTCTAATCTAATGATGTCATGACATGTGTTATCTATAAGATTTTTTTGTCAAAAAAATTTTGTACCTGTAACATTGTTCTTTGTTTTCAATGTCCCTTCGGCTCCCACGTGAGAAGGTACTCAAAAGTCCTATATGCACGAGTTGAATTTATTTTTTGTGTCGTGATTAATGAAGGAGTATACTAATTATAGCACTTGTTTGAACTCCATTTTTCAATAATACATTTTTTCTTGAAATTTATTTTCAATCACATATTCTTTTAACAAGATAATATTACACGTAAATTAAAACTTTTTTCTACTTTTCAACTACATATTCACTAAAACTTTACAATTCCAAAATCTCTTTTTACGTAATAATGGGGCTCCAACAAGGGAATAATTGTTACTCCTCATCCTACGAGACTTCAATCATTGACCATGTGATAGCTAACTAACAACCCACGTCGACCTTGCACTCTATGTCACCAATTTATTTGGCCTAACCGAGGCCATTAAACACTAAATTAACCCTGTAACTATATTACAATCCCTAATATTCCCCAAAAAAAATCTTTAAAATCTTTGAAAAAATTCTGAAAATCATAGAAAATCCTTGTATGTTGCATTCTTTAATTGACTATTCGTAAGTACCATGCTTCCACTGCAAAGCGAGTGAATACCCTCATGATTTTCTTAAGTCATTCTCAAATAACCTATACTAAATCTTAACTTGAGAAATACCTTATTATCGTAAAACGTATATTGTTCGATACATGATAAACACTAATGTTCTACTCCACTTGAACGTGAAAGATGCTTTCTTAACGTGGAGAAGTAAAAATACATGAATTGTTGCTCATTGTAGTGGTATAACTTGATGATAAGCTAAACTTCTCGCTTTTTTTGAAAGTTTGAAAATCTCTGTTACCACTTGTAGAGCTCTAATAACACTTCAAAGGATCCGATTAATGATTAAGTGTGACCTTACATGCGAAATTAATACAATTAAAAGCAACAAGTTCCCTTTTAATTGTTTCCAGATGGTTAATCAAATAGTCTAATTATCCTTAGTTGAATTGTCACAGTTTGTAATAAGAGAGAGTAAATAACATCAGATATATTAACGGAGA